CCTTCATTCTGCAGTATAGTCCCAGCCATGCTTCGCGGGGAGGCGATATGCACGAGCCAGAGGCACACCACATTTACCCGCAAGTTCATTCAAGAGAGCGGGCCCACAACAGAAGAAGCGCCAAGTAAGTGGTGAACAGGTGGGAGGAAGTGAACGACCATGGGTTCGATTTGTTCTTCGGAGTGGATAGTAAGCGATAATTCGTGTCGTCAGAGAAGGTGGAAGGTGGATGGAAAAGGCAGGAGGGGGGCGGATGAGGGAGGGAAGGGGAGGGGCATGGTTGAAGATCGCTGAATTGATGCTGGTGGCATCAGGCGAATGAGATTGAAAGGCACAGGATCTACGAGCGTATGATCAACCTTGGACGAAGCTTGCTTCAGGATCGCTGCTCCTCCCCTCCCCTCCCCTCCCCTCCTCTTCTTCACTTCTCCTCTATTCGCCTCCCTTCCCTCTCATATCTTTCCAGGTTCGAAGCGCGTTCCGACATCAGCCGCCGCCACAGATGGAAGCGCTCCTCAAGGTAGCGTCCTCTCTTCCCTTCCTCTCCGCCGCTTCGTCTCATTCCCCTGCCCGCTAGACTCTCAAGAGCGCGCTGGCGTTCATCGAGGTCTTCGATGGTCGGGGTTGGTTCATGCGCGCCCTCAAGTCTTCCTCCGACAAGTCGGCCCTCGAGAGCTTCCACCACGCCATCACAGCTCACTGCACGGACATGTCGCTCAGCTTGCAAGTGGCTGCGTACAGGCGAGATGAGTAGGAGGGGGGAGACGCGGGAGTGAGCTGCGAGCAGGGACGAGCATCTGATCCTCAACGAGGTCGTCGAGAGGATTTCTTGGCTGCAAACCCTGCAGAGGAAGATGCTGGAGACGCAGAGCCAGACAGGGAAGGTGACTTGACGTCTCCGTTCCCTCGGCTTCTCTGACTGCAGCAGGTTGTCGTCGACGCCTCCCGCAAGGTCGAGGATAGCGGTTGCTCAACTCACAGGAGGGGGGCGCGAGTGACAGCCTGGCAGATCTCATGACCAAGCTCGAGACCATCGCAGCTCAGCAGGCGGCACAGGAGGAGCTTCTCCAGCGTTTGCTAGGTCAGGTTCCGGACGTACAAGGCGGTGACTCGACCCAAGATCTTGCGGCTGCTTAGAACCCTTGCTCAGCAACTCCCAAGCTCATTCAAACTGAGAGCTGAGCTTGTTCCGACTGAATCGCAAGGCAGCAGACCCTCTGCAGGAGGTTCTACTACTACTCCTACTCCTACTCCTACTCCTCGATCGCTGAAGGTATCGGCGTGTTCCCTTGTCGTTCTGTGATATTGAGCATTACCACGGTTGATTACAAGGAGATTCTTTACCCGACCCTTGTCGGATACCTAAACTCCTATCCACCCCTAAGTCCCCTAGGGAGCAAGTAGGCGAGCTCGGACCAGCCGCGAGCACTCCAGTGGCGTCGAGCTCTCCGGAGGCATCAGACGTCACAGTGATGGACGGAGAGGCTTCGCCAGCGCCATTCTTGATGCTTCCACCTCGTGTGTGCCTGGAGGTTTAGCTTGTTCCTGCTTTGTTTTGCTTGAGGCACTTTTTACCTTCTGCCAGTAAATCCTATATACCTCGGGCGACGGTACCGTCAGCATGGGCCTAGCTTCCATGTGTCCGCTGCCCCAGGCGGACCCCCGGGCAGCGCCGGCTCCTTGTCGGCGGCTGCCCTTTCTCCGTCCGCGGCCTCTGCGTCGACTGA